GAAGGGATTGTATTTGCCAGGGGAGAGAGAGAGAAAGTGAGAAATCACTCTCCCCAGGGGGGATGGCCACATCACAATCCCTTCTCCACTTTCCTTTCAGGATTTGGGGCATGCATGCACATGTGCCTGGCATGATTTTCAAGCCACTGGGTCTGGGACTTGAACCATGCCATTGGCCATGTGGGATCCAGCACCTTAACCTTCATGCCACCTGCATTTTTTCAAGATCCCTGAGTGACTCAGGGGCATGTAAAGTGTCAGAAGCCAGCCCTGGAGGATCTCCACCAAGCCTTCAGACTGGCCCTAAAGAGCTTCGTTGTCCAGCACACTGGTCACTAGCCACTTGCACCAGCGTCCATTTGAATGAGCTGAAATTAGTTCCTCGGTCTCACGGCCACATTTCAAGTACCCAGTAGCACATGGGGCTAGTGGCTACTCTACTGAACTTTATGTCATCACAGAAGGTTCTGGTAAACAGTCTCAATATGTAAGACGGCTAAAAAACCTGTGGCCTGGGTTTGTGAGTGAGGCCCCTTCAGGGTCAGCCCACTTCTACATTATTCACTCAACACACGTGGCCCTTCCGGGTGCCAGGCACTGTGGGAAGCAGAGCAGGAACCGAGGTAAGACAGGAGGTCTGTCAGTCAGGGCTGGCAGGTCTTGATTCCCACACCGTCTCTAATCCCGCGGAGATATATACAATACCGCTCTCTCAGCCTCACGCCTGGAGACTTTGATTGGGTGAGGTCTGAGGGTTCTTAGGTGGCTCTGGCGCAGATGCCGTGTCCATGTCTAGCGCAGGCACAGCCAACTTAACGCCGCATTGAAGCGTTACAGCTACGTGTGCACGCGGCACCATGGAGCTGGAGGAAGGGGTACTCGCAGAAGGCCTTGGGGGCACATCAGCTGAGCACGAGGGCAGTGGCTCTGCCTGGATACCTCACTGAGCAGCAAACCTGTGACATAGGTACTGCAGTTACCTCACTGACAGTCAAGGAAACTGAGGCTCAGAAAGCCATCAGCTTGCCCAAAGCCACACAGCTGGTGAGAGGCAAAGTCTTCAGGAATACAGTGATTAGGACAGGACAGAGCACCCTCCCCAAGACGCCATGCCCACTGCTGCCCTGCCCACCTACCTGTAGCCCCAGGGAGACAGGCTCCTCTTGTTGGACAGCCACAGCTGCAGGTTGACCTCACACTTGTGCCTGGCCGGCTCGGAGCTGTTCCGCAGCTGTGCCACCATCTCCCCAAGGTTCCTCTCGTACTCCTCCATGCGGGCGTATGGCTTCGCCCGTGACACCAGGTCCAATGGCACCTGATGAGGTCCAGGAGCGAGGGTCCCAGGCCGCCCTTGCCCCTTCCTCTTGCCTTTGGGGTTCCTGGGCTGGCCTAGCCCCAGGAAGATGGAGATCGTCAGAAGGAATAGCTGAGGAGGAAGGTCACAGGTCACAGGTCTGGAAGCTAGTGCTCACTCTGGGCCAAGACTCTGGGCCCAGGAAAGAGAGAGGAAGAGGACAGGACCCTGTGTGGTCCACCCCTCCCTGCCAACCCCTGGCCTGGTCCCACGGGACTGCCCCACATGTGCATGAACGCTTTCTGCACACCACGCTCTGTGATGGGCACTGACAGTGACACCGCCCACTTCCTCCTTTGATATCCAACTCATTGCCAAGTGCTGAGAATATGCCCCCCTCCACTGTTTCCGTCTGCCCTACTCTCCTCACTGCCCTGAACGGCTCCACGGCCTCCTAGGTAGTTTTCCCAAATCCTCTGTCTCCTTCCTATCAATCCTCCACACCAAGGCCAAGGACAGCTATTTAAAATGTGTATCTGGACACGAGCAGATGGCGTAATGCTTATGTTGTGGGACTCCCACGTAGTCAACTGCGGTTCAAGTCCCAGACCCAGTGGCTTAAAATTCACACCGGGCGTGTGCATCTGCATTCCCCAAATCCTGAGAGGATGGAGAATAAGGGAATGCAGCATGGCCATCCCCATTGAGGGAGGTGATTTCTCACTTTCTGTCTCTCTCTGTCTCTCTGGCGAGTGTACACACACTATAGCAAAAATCTCTCTCTAAAAAAAAAATAAAAAGGAAGGGACCAGCAGTTAGCATAATGGCTATGTCGCTGGACTCCCATGTAGTCGACTGCGGTTCATGTCCCAGACCCGGTGGCTTAAAACTCATGCCGGGCGCATGTGCGTGCGTGCCCAAGATCCCGAGAGGAGAATGGAGGAGAAGGGATCGTGGCATGGCCATCCCCCCTGGGGGGTAACTTCTCACTTTCTGTCTCTGTCTCTGTCTGTCTGGCAAGCGCACGCACCCTATAGTAAAAACCTCTTCAAAAATAAATAAATAAATAAATAAAATAAAAAGAAAGAAAGAAATACAAAAATCTGGTAACTGCTTAATGGCCTTCCCATTGTCCTTAGGGATCTGACCTTCTCCTGCACCCCGCCCCCAACTCTCTCTCCCCCTCAACTCTCTCCCTCTGTTCCTCTTACTCTCGTGCTGCAGCTTCTGGCCTTCTCTCAGTCTCACCCTCACTGTGCTCCTCCCTGCCACAAGGCCTTTGCACCGGCCTCTGCTCGCAGCGTTCTGCCTCTTCTCACATGATAGCTCTAGTGCCACTTCCTTGGGGATGCGTTTGGACATCCTTGGGCCCCCGCAAGCCACATGCCTCCTGATGACTGCGGTCCTACAGTCTGTAGGCGCGATTCCTTTGTTCGTCTGTCCCCCAGGAAGCAGGGGCTCCACGAGGACAGAACATCAGCTTCCACACACCCTCTATACCCTGTGTCTGCACAGTGCCAGGCACTTAGGTACTCGGCGAACACTTGCCAAGTGACTGGAGGCTGTCTCCAGCCCTGCCCTTCTGGGTCTTCTAATCTAAGGAGAGCGGTGAACGAGGAACCAAACGCCGAGGCTCACCACCACCCAGCGCAGGGATGGCCTGGTGTAGGGTGTGACTGGGAAAAGCAGGGGCTTCCTGCCTAGCCCGTGCCAGAGGAGTGACCTGGCAAAGCTTTTCTGGGCAGGGCACAGGTCAAGTGAGGTTTGGCGGAGAAGAGAAAGGCAGACAGGCAGAAGGAATCTCAGGCTTGAAGGCAGGGAGATGGTGAGAGAGGAGGTGTGAGTTGACTAAGAGTTTTGCCAAAAGGAAACACGGAGGCTGGGACGGAGTGGACAGGAGGAGGGTGTGAGATGACGCTGGGGAGAGGGCAGGTCACAGCTGAGGGCTCCCCGTTGGCCTCCAGCTCTGACACCTACACTGGCCTCCCCACCTGCCCGCCTCAGTCCTCTGCCTGCCTCTGCCTCCCTGCCATCCTCATCTCCCTCCCCAGAACCAGAGCATCAGGAAAGCATCTGGCTCGGTCAGAAGAGGACTCAGGCTGATAGAACCCAGACTCCTCAGGGAACAGGGGAGAGAAGAGTCAGAATCTGGGTGGGGCGGGAACTGGCCAGAGCAGAGGAGCGTCTGCGGGAGTTTTATCTCTAGCTGAATCCAGCCAGCTCCATACCTGCCCTGAGCCCTCTCCCAACGCTGTGTGGTCCGTGCCTGGTTTATCTGGGCTACCCAGCAAGTCCTCACCCCTGGAAACAAGTGTCAGCATAGCCTGTCTTGGCAGAGCCATCTCCTGGCAAGTCCACAACAGATTCAAGTCGCTAAATTCTCCCTTTTCAGTGTTACATTCTAGTGCAGGAAAACGGCTCCCTCACAATAGGCTCACTCCTCTGGGCCTCTCACACAATGTCCGAAACGCTGGCTCTCCTCACCCAAGAAAACCAGTGCAGAACCCAAGCCCCTCTCCCTCCCGTTCCAGATGGGGAAGCAAGAAACAGAAGGACTTGCCCAAGGTCACACATGCCAGATGGCGGGACTCAGGACTCTTTGGAAAAACCCCCAATGACAGAGTGTGCCAGATCTCCCCAGATCCTGGCCTGAAAGGGCTTCAGTGTGGATGGCAGAGCCCCGTGCAGGAGCCTGAGGTCCTGGCCATGCTGAGACCAGTCTCTGTTTCCTTCCGTCCTCAGGGAGAAGACAGCGGGAGAACGGGCTTCTGCAGATTCCAAGGCAAACAGAGGCAGCCATTAATCAATAGGAAAGAAATGCTGAAACACCCAGGCCCTAGAAGCAGTGGGGGCAGGGCGGGGAAGCGCCACGTACCAGGTGGTGCGGCCAGTCCATCCCGTCGAGCCGGGCACTTGGCCTGCAGCTGCCACCGCCTGGAACCCCAGATGCCGTCCTCGTCCTCGCTGCCGCCGGGAGAGAATGGCAGCAACAGGATGGAGCGAAGCAATTATAGCTCTACAGGGGGTGCTGGGGGAGAGGGTGGGTGGGCTCGTCATCAGCTGGGAGCCTCGGGCCCCCAGCTGGCTGGGCCTAGCGCAGTGGCAGGCGGTGAGGGGTGTGGGGATAGGCCAGGAGCCGGGCTGAGGTGCCCAGGGGCTGTTGACCAAGGGACAATGCCCTGTGTGTCTGGTGGGGCTCTGGCCGGTGGCACCTCCGCCTGTGGCCTGCGGCCGGCCTCCCGGCCAGTACCCACAGGGCCAGCTAAGACAATCAGCTTCGTTTGCTTTGGGGATGGCGAGGGGGTGAGGGCAGAGGAGGGATGGGCTGTCGGTTGGTCAGAAGAGTGAATGTTCTCGGAGTGTGCTGGCAGGAACGGGACACGGCCCCATCTCCCAGGGAAACAGCCTCAAGCACTCCAGCCCCTGCCAGCCTCAGGTGAGATCAATGGCCGTCAGAGGCCAGAATCCCCCTCCTCTAGGTCCTAGACAGGGAAAATGAAGCCCAAGCAAGAAGGGACTTGCTCGGTATTACACAGTGAGTGAGAGATGACAGAGCCGGCGTGTATACCTGGTCCCTATCCAGGGCTCTATCCACCACCACCCCCCGTGCTATTTGTCTTGGGATATTTTCTGCACAATTCCAGCCTGCTGTGGACATGGGTCTCCCTCTGTGTGTTCTTTCACAAGCCGAGCCGTGGATTCATGGGGACTTCGTAGCCAATTGTGCCAGCCTTCCTGTGCAGCACTCCTGCTCGGGTCTGGAAAGTCTCCACTCCAGGCCCAGCCCCTGCCTGGGACCTTCATTCTCTCCCAACCTCAGTTCCCTTCTCTGTAAAATGGGAGTTGTGCCCAGAAATACACAGTGGCCTGGTGTATTTCTCTGAAAACTTTCTGATCCGCAGTTTCTTTTTTTTTTTTTTTTTTTGAGTTTTTTGCTATAGGGTGAATGCGCTCACTAGAAAGAGAGAAAGAGAGACAGAAAGCGAGAAATCACCCCCCAGGGGGGATGGCTACGCTGCAATCCCTTCTCCTCCATTCTCCTCTCGGGATCTTGGGCACGCACGCACATGCGCCTGGCATGAGTTTAAGCCACCGGGTCCGGGACTCAAACCACGGTTGACTACATGGGAGTTCAGCGACATGGCCATTACGCTAACTCCTGGTTCCCCGTGATCTGTGGTGTCTACATGTTTTGAATGGGGATAATCCTAGCAATCCCCTATTGAGGCCGCTATAGGAGATAAAGGAAATAATGCACGTAGCTGGCATTGTGCCTGGCACAGAGTAAGCGCTCAATGAACACTCAGCTGCTTATCATAGAAAGTGTTATTTTACAATGATTTTGTAAGTATGAACACTAGCAGTTCTAATTAGCCTCAGCGCTAGCACAGTTCCGATTACTTACTGACTCTCCACCCCTCAGGCCCACCCTCCTGGCTGACAGAACTCAGGCTTCCCAGACTTAGGCCACAATTTGGTGAGCTCAGGTGACCCCAGGATCCGTACTCCTGGAATCCTGTGCTAAACAGCCTGGTCCCCTGGCCCAGGTCTCTCCCTTTTAGTGAACAGCTCAGCCAAATACGAGCGAGGGAATTCACCCAGGGAGGCAGAAGAGGAGGAGGAGGGAGGAGGCCAAGGGAGGGACACCCAAGCAGACACCCTGGGCTGCCCCGTCTTGCTGAAGGCCAGTCGTGGCCATTTACAGGAATCAGCCGAGGGAAAGATCGCAGGGCGAGAGGCCCTCCTGAATGTCACAAGATGAATCTGTCCAGGGCAGGTTTCCACAGCATAACTATTCTCAGAAGCTGGCAGGGGCTCGAGCTCATCGCGAGATACCACCATATTTGGTCAAATGCTACACAGGGCTCTATTCTATCATTGGAAACTCCAGAGGGAGGGGACTCTGAAAATACCTCCTCAGGCAACACGGGCCCTCACTCCTACCCCAGGCTGCCCCAGCTCCCCAGACACTGTCCCTGGAACAAATGAATGGGCAGGCTGAGGGGCGACAGACGTGCCTGGTTGTCTTCTGGGTTGACTCTGCCTTTCCCCTCTTTGCTGACAATAGGGGACTGGTAGACATGCAGCTGGGGTGACCCCTCCCATATCCATGGAAAGGTGGGGACATTCAAAGATGCGTTCTGAGGTTCTTCCGCTTCTTAGGGCCCCTGAAGCCAATATGGCCCCCTTGCCTGCTGGCTCCACACACCCCTCACTCTGCTTCCCCAAACCCAGATCTTTCAGCCTCCTCTCCTCCCAGCTGCAGGGCTGGTTCCCATCCACTCCAGGGCCCAAGCCCTAGACATTCTGACACAGCAGGCCCTGGAGTCTGCATTCCACACAAACCTAGTGTGGGAGCTACAGGGGTCCTCTCCCAACATCCGGCCTCCCATTACCACCCATTTCACTTTAAGGAGGGAGAGGCTTTACCCCAACTTGCCCTTGCAGAGCTGGGAGCAGAACTCGGCCTCCTAATTCGAATACACTACTCTTCTGCGAACTTTACACAGACAGCACGGGGCTAGGCTGGTCTGGAGGGGGCCAAGGAGCCAGCCTGGCCCTTCATGGGGCCCCAGATCCCTCACAATGGGATTCTCAGGCAGGTGCTGTGAGGATACAGGCAAGGGCCCAGCAACCATCATGGAGTTTCCCATTGCTGGGCCATCTCAGGCTAAGAAAGAAGCCCCTTCCTTCATCACCAGCTTCCGGAAGCCACGGAAGGGTTATTCACCCTTAGAGACATCCTGAGTGTGAACCCAGCCAGGCCACAGGACCCAGTCCCAACCTTTGGTGCCAGCCCTGAGAGGGGTTGTAGGCATTTAGGTTTCAGGGGCTCATGCCCCACAAGTCTTTATGTACAGGAGGTGGTCGATAGGCATGGGTAGGGAAAAGGTGGATGGGCTAGTGAGCAGCAAAGGGACAGTGAGTGGTGGTGGTCAGTGCCCAGATCTGTCAGAGAGCCTTCTGCAGTAGGACCTGCCTGGAGCTGTGCTACGCTCACCACCAGGTGGCGCTACCAGAAAGCCAGACAGCCCTGAGAGCGCTGCAAACCCCAGGGAGCGTCTACCCCAGCATGCTTTCCCCAGGAGCGGGCCCTGGAGCTGAAAATGAGGGGCTGGCGAGTGGAGAGAGACATGTGCCTGCTCCCGGCTTTCCCTGTGGCATAGCTGGCCAGGAGTGGGGTGAGGGTTTCTGACTGCTGAGTGAGTGAGTCCCTCTGCTTTGAGCACCTATTGTGTGCTAGGCCCAAAGCACTGGGCACCTGGACACTGTAATTCTCAGAGATAACAATTAGAAATATAATAATTGCCGCCTAGGGTCTTTCTTCTCAACAACCCTGTGGTAAGGTAAGGTCCTAGCTGTATCTCGAGTTTACAGAGGGGGAAACTGAGGCTCAGAAAGCTTAGTCACCTGCCCAAAGTCACAAGCAAATTTTTCTGACTCCGGCACATGCTGTTCCCGGCAGTGGGGTCAGGAGAGGGGCCTCGCAGCCAGGAGAGGAGAGGGACTGTCCAGGCAGTCAGCTGGCATCGAGAAGGCTCAGCAATGGCCCCGGCTTTGCTCCAACATCCTCCAACAACCTGGGCCCTGCAGGTTCCAGAGCTCAGTAAACCCAAGCCCAGACTAGACTCTGCAGGAAAGTCTGAGGCTGTGAGTATAGCACCAGCACATCACCCAGCAGGGTCCCTGACACAGAGCAGACACTGGCTAAGTATCTGATACATTGAATCAAACCAACTGGAATACAGGTTGATACTGCTGGGATGGACAGTGGGAGGCCACAACCCTGGGACCCACAGCAGGTACCGCACAGGGGAAAGAGGTCAGACTCCTCGGGTTGGCAAACCTCAGTTTCCATCCTGTCCCTGCCCCTTCACAGCTGTGTGACCTTGGGAAAGTTACTTGCCTTCTCTGAGTCTTAGTTTCTTCTGCACAGTGGAGATAATAACTTGACCCTCAAGATATTATATCAAATGAGAAAATGCACATTAAAGCCCTTAGCACAGTATCTGGTAAAAGTAAGTGCTCCCTGAATAGCAGCAGCAGTTGTCATTACCACTGTTAAAATATTTTGAGTTGGGGCCCAGTAGATGGCATGGTGGCTAAGGAGTTGGACTCCCACATGGCCAACCACAGTTTGAGTCCCAGACCTGGTAGCTTGCTTTCTCATTCTCCTTCTCTCTCTCTCTGTCTCTCTCTAATCAATTAAAAATAATAATAAATAAAATAATTCTTATATATGTGTGTATATATAGAGTGAGTGAGAGAGAGAGTTGGGCCTTCCAGAAGGCTTCTAGGGATATCCCTAGGTAGGAAGGGCACTATGAGGTGGGGGCGAGGCGAGAACTGGTGGAGTTCTGCCAAGAGCTGTATTCCCAGCGGGCCCACCCTGGAGCCCCATCTGGGCCAGGAAGACCTGAGGATTTGGTCTAGAAACTTGCCCTCATAGGCGCAAGGGAGGTCTGGGGAGGCAGGAGGAGGCCAGCACGCGCCTTTGCTGTTTGTGGCCAGGAGGGCGCATCCCCCACGGAGGTCCTGGCTCCCCTGCCCTGCCGCCCACCCCGCCCTCCTGGGTAGGAGTCCTTCTCCCAGGCCCATATTTGCACAAATGCCTGCCTCACTGCTCACTACAGAGCCCCAGCCAAGAGGGGCTATTTTAAGCTCCCTGGACGGGAACATTGTTGGTGGGAACAGCCCCAGTCAGCAAGCTCCCAGTTCTCAAAAAAGGGAAAGGCCTGGGCGGCTTCTGGGACGAGCAGCCGGGGCTGCCACATCGACGCCATCTTCTGCCCAAATCAG